AGGATCCCTAAAAATTCGAATTTCGCGCGCTTTTACCGGCAGTTGGCCTAGAAAATCCGCTTCGGCCACCAGTTAACACTTTGGTTTTTCGATGCGTTTTTCGCAATGAAGGAATTTTTTTGAATTTTTTCTTTATTTTTATGGGAATCTACATGGATTTCTGCACAAAGTAAAGCAATAAAATTTTTCACCGCACACCACCTTTAAATTTTCAAGTCATTTATAAGGATTTAAGATTGTGTTTCAAGAGTTTTTCATACAATTTCAGCAACGTTTTTTTTTGAAAATTTTGAAAATTTTGGAGCTAATTTGTTTTATAATCTCTGAAATTTCCAGAAGCATTTCCCTGAAATTGCTAGAAGATATCATCATAATTTTGAATAATTTTAAGCATTTTTCAGCTGATTTTCGGAAAATTTAAATTAATTTCTTAGAATTCGGATTTTTTATTAAGAGTTTTTCATACAATTTCAGCAACTTTTGTTATTTTGGAAATTTTCGGAATTTTCAGAGGAAATTCTCAGAAATTTCTAAAAAATTCCACTACAACTTTGAATAATTTTAAGCCAATTTTATAAATTCCATCAGCTGATTTTTTGAAATTTTCGAAGAAATTCAGTTGAATTTTGGTCTCTTTTCTAGAGTTTTTAAAGCGATTTCAGCAGATTTTGCTCGGAAACTTCTAGAACATTTTAGAATCATTTTAAGCCAATTTCAGACGATATTTGGCTGTAAGTTTCGACAATTTTCGGATTTTTTCTATCATTTCCAAGCCAATTAAAGTCATTTTTTGGTCCATTTTGAACGTGTCTGTTTATATTTTTCTGAAAATTCCAGATAAGTTTTGGCTCATTTTTTAAATTTCCAGCTGATCTTTCAGACATTTCCCCCCCCCCCCCTCAAAAACTCTAAAAAACTCTCACCCGTTCATTCTTCCCAACCGAATTGTCGATCCACGCGAACGCAATCGGCTTCTGAAGGCGGACATTGTAGGCTCCGGACGTGATTTGTCCGACTCTCGCTTCTTGTCCATCGATGCGGATCACTTCGTTTCCGGATGGAACGTATTTGTCATCCAAAACGATTCCCTCTTCGGTGTCGAATGTGATCAGGGCAAGGCGGCGGCTGGAAGCACTCAAAGGGGTTACAGATCGGGCGATTTTAGGGATTCGAAGATTTTTTGGGATCTGATTGAATTCTTTTGAAAAGGATTTCTAGCGGAACAGTCTTTCTACAGTATCAACAAAAAATTTATCATTTCCCTGTTTTTACAATATTGAAGATTCGAGCCTTAAATCGAGAAAATTGAACTAGGATTACGATAGAAACATGGGTTAGGAGCTAAAAATTGACAAGTTTGCATCAGGATTACTGTAGAAAGGTGTTTAAGCCAAACAAAACTGCTTTTTTTTGCCGATTTTCAGAGCCTAAAATTTTAAGAAACTTACTCAAACTCCTTCTTGCTAAACTCCAGCGCGGATTCTCTTCCAATGAATTCCTTCTTGTTGAAATCCACCAAACTTCCAATTCCACACTCGAACGGATTCGTATCCAGGGTCAGTTCTTTTCCCCAAATCTTGTATCCATGCTCCAAACGCATCATATTCAACGCCGCCTGTCCGAAGTTCACAATTCCATGATCGCGTCCGGCGCCCATCACTGCGTGGTAGAGTTTCGCAGTTTCCGCACGATTATGGAACAATTCGAAGGAGAGTTGTCCGGTGGAAGTCGAAGAACGGGCACAGACGACACCGACTGGTCCCAGGCGGATCATTCGAGTCGATTTCTGAGGGAATCCTTCGTCGGAGACGTCGGATTTCGTGAGAGCGGACAGAACTTCACGCGATTTTGGACCGACTAGAGCCAGAGATGCCAAGTATTCAGACACTATCGAGACCTGGAATAGGGAAAGATTTTTATTAAGATTTTGAAATTTTCAGATTTTGAGAATTTTTGAAATTTCTGAGTTTTTATGATGGTTTCAGAATTCTCATGGAGAATCCTGTTCTCCACTATTCGAATTTTTGATTTCCGAGGTTTTTGAATTATCTAAGATGCCTATCATCTGGATTCCCAGATTTCTAGATTTCCAGATTTCTGGATTTCCATATTTCTAGATTCCTGGGTTATCAGATTTTTGAATTTAAGATTTTCAGAAGTTTCCCAAAGTTCAAAAAATCGTAATTTTTCGATTTTCCTATTTCGGAATCCAGGATTTTCAGATTTCTAGATTTCCAGATTTCCAGGATCATCATATTTCTAGATTGCTGGATTTATAGATTTATGGATTCGCAGATTTCTAGGTTTTCAGATTCCTAGATTTCCTGATTTCTGAATTTCTAGAATTACGGATTCGCAGATTTCTAGGTTTCCAGATTTCTGGAATTCCATATTTCTAGATTCTTGGATTTGTAGATTTCCTCATTTCCAGATTTCCGGATGTCTATATTTCTAGATTCCTGGATGTCTGGATTTCCAGATTTCTGAATTTTTAGACTTCTAAATTTTTCCAGATTTTCAGGATTTCCGAATATCTAAATTTTTAGTTTTACAGATTTCCAGATTTCTGGATTTCAGGAAATCTAGCTTTCTGGATTCTTTGTCTTTTAGATTTCCAGATTTTCAGAATTCAAAACTATGTCCATATTCAACGTCCAACATTTTAAGATTTCTAGATTTCTAGGATTTTGAATTTTTGGATTTCCAGTTTAAAACATTTCCAACTCCTAGATTTTCAAATTTCAGAATTCAAGATTTCAGAAGATTTCCAAAGTTCAAAAATCCAAAATATTAGAATTTTAGAAAATTGGATTTATGGAATTGTGAATTTTCAGATTTTTAGAATTTCCGGATTCCACATTTTCTATACTTCCAACTTTTCAGATTTTCGAATCCTCCTTCCTACAGTACACCCACCTGCACATCCATCTGCTTCTCAGCGGCGGCACGTCTCAACCAATACAAATCTCTCGACTCTCTTTCTGGCTCCGTGAGCAAAATGAACGCGGATCGCTGACGGTCGTGATGGAAGATCATCATTGGTCCAAGGATGCCTCCGTGACGTGTCAACATCAACCCAGAGCTGATCTTTCCGAGCGCGGGGATCTGAAACGGGTCGGAATTGGGCTTAAAATTTGTTAATTGATTTTGAGCCGGTTAGTAGGGTCAGAATAGGCTTGAAATTCGTTCAGAATAGCCCTGAGACTGCCCAAAAATCATTTTGAGCCGGTTTTAACAGTCAAAATGTGCTCAAAACAGACCTAAAATGACCCTGATCACCACCAAAATCGCTTGAAAACGTTTCAGGAAAAATGACATATTTTAAACAGGTTTTCAGCCTATTTTTGATTTTCAACCATTTTTTGAGCCGGATTTCATTATCAAAATGGGCTCAGAGAAAAGATGCAAAAACTCAAAAATCGTTTCTAGAACCTTCTGGAAGTTTTCGAAATCATTTTTTTTTGATTTCTCGCCAAAATTTTTGGGAGCCCCAAAACTGGAAACTCCGAAAAATTGGCGATTTTTAGCGATTTTCGAGAGAAAAATTGACTTTTTCTTCAATTTTTTCCGTAAAATCTTTAGACCTTTTCAGGTTTTTCAGCTATTTTCAAAAATTATTTTTCGATTTTTTTGTCTGAAATTTGATGGAACC